CCTCCCACAGGAGGTACACCAGCCAAACAGGGAAGAGAAAGGTTACACAATTACCACGTTTTATTGTTCTAAGTACTATGAAGGACATACACAGACAGCTCAGAATATGTAGCCTCAGAGGCCTGACCTTGTGGGCAGCCGGGGAAGTCTCCCACCCACGTGATATTTAGCCGTTAGGCAGGAGGAAGGGAAAGAGCTCCGGAGCAGGGCAGGGGAAGAACAGCCTCAGCTCCTCCATATTCCACGTGGCCCTTTGCTCAGTCTGATCAGGGTAGGACACATGCCATATGCCAGACTCTGCCTTACACTGCAGGGTCAGGCAAAGGGTCTGAAAGTGGTTCCCAACCCAAACCACTCAACCAGAGCACCCATGGAGTGGACTTGAGCTCAGCCCTCATAACTAGGCCTAGGCACTGAGGAACGAAGCCTAATCTATTCTGTGCCACTGTGGCAAGGACTCAGATGTCAGATTGTTAAGGCCTATGTGTAGCTTGTTAGAGTATTGCACTTATTTATTTTTTACATGATTTCTTTACAAGGGAAGATTTTCTGTAAGGAAAGAAAATTCAGAAATTAGTCAAAACTCTAAAATAAACAACCAAAGCAAAACACAGCTCGATGGCCTTTCCTTCCAAAGACTTCACTCCTAAACCACATTGTGAATTTTCAGTTATGACTCAAAAAAGTTCAATGGGCAACCCCTGTGGAGTCTTTGCTGACAGTGTACAAACCTGTTTGTGTGTACTGTCGTACCTATTCCAGTGGGCTATCAGATACACAAGCGCTGCTTTCTTTGGTGAATGGCAAATTCTCAGTTAGGCAATGAGTAAATTTACCTGTTGTTATCGTTTCATGTGTTTTATTTTTAATGCTGGCACAATCGGCATTTTCTTGTTTTAGCCAAATAAAATATATATTGTGATAATCATGGGATCAACTTGCTCAATACTAATTTCACAAGGTTATAGTCTCAAGTTCAAGAAACACTGAATCTGCAGTCTGACTGGCAGCATAATTACCCTCTAACCTGGGACAAATTTCTTTTCCTTTACCCAGTAAAATGAGGATGCTGGTCTAGAACACATATGCCCAGATGCCTTTGACTACCTCAGGAAAGTATGTTAAAGTATAATCTCTCCAACTCCCTGGCCCAAGCAGGAATCTGAGATCTTTCCAGTCCTGATACCCCATGACTTTCTGAAATAAGGGATAAACAGATGAAAATATAACCTCTTCCTCATAAATGATTAATTTCTGATTTTCAGTTCCCTTAAAGAACTAGCAAAAAGGATAGCTCAACACTTGATAAGAAGACTGCTTAATTGTGGGTAATAGCATGCATATAGTCCAAGTAGCCAAGAGCCACTACTATAAAGAATGGGGGTAAAAGCCAGGATAGAATATTAATGAAGGCATGTATCTCTATCAAGGTAATTATTCAACAGAATATAGAAGAGCCCTAGGAAAGAGGACAAAAATATTAATAATTAAGAAAATATTGCTTACCTTACAATAAATATATGTGGCAAAAATTTTTTAAAAAGCAGCTCACTATTCAGTTGTATTCATTTTCAGTGGTCACAAGAATGAAAGATGTTTTAATATGTCTTGTAATTACTTCTAAATAGTACAGACAGGTGGCACTGTGTATGTGTTAAAAGCATTAATTTCTTAAGTTCTCAGCAAACCAAATTTCCACATTTCTGTTTTGAAACTTTCTTTTCTAATATATGCAGAGCTCAAAACTGGAAGTTGCTCAAGCCTCTCTTCAGCTCCTGAGCTTATGTTTTGTGCCCAATTCCATGGTAACAAGGGCTTAAGACAAGGTGTGGTCAGAGAACAGGAGAAAGGGATGAACTGAAGGGATATAGCGTGGCTGGCCTAACTTCAAGGTAGGTGTCAGGAATGATTCTGTACTGACTAGAGATGTAGCTCAGTGGTAAGCACTGGGCTAGTATGCATGGACTCAATCCCCAGCACTAAAAAGAAGGAAAATAAAAAATAAAGATTTTGCAGTTCTAGTCTAGGTCACTGGAAGGGTGATGGTGCATTAATAGGAAGCCAGGAAGGGAAGTGGCTTGCAGGAGGGGATGATGCGTTCCATTTTTTGGTGTAAAGGACTTTGTGTGTTCTTTCTGGCTTCCATGGCCAAAGTAAGAGCACTGACAAAATTGCTCTTGAGTAGACAAGAACAGCAATACAGAGCCTCAGCCCCATGTTTTTCCCTGAACCGTGGAAGACAAACCATCAGAAAAGCACCTGTGCAATTCTTAGGAAAATCACAATTCCTTTAGAGAACTGAGTCACGCATCACAGATTACCTTAAAAAAAATCCCCTCAGAGGTCAGCTCATAGCACTGTATATACATATATATATATGTCACTGATACCACTCATAGGACACTCTTCAGAAACAAAGAAGATACGGACCTACTGCTGTGGCCAGAGTTGGACTTTCAGTCTATGTTCCCCATTCTGAAGACCAAGAGTATCCACTTCCCCACCCCCAGCCCCCCTTTCCCCTACAGAACATAGCCCACAGAACTAGAGATAATGACAACTAAATGGAAAACTTCAAAATCACCCAATCAATTGTCTACTGTTACAGATGAAGAAACTAAGACCCATGGTGGTCTTAGATGCAGTCAAGGATTGGCCCAGACCTGGCACTAAGGTCCTCTATGCTTCTTCCTACCACCTGGGAACATATCAAGACTCATGGTCACTTTCTTCATATTCTAAGCCCTTGACCCTTCACTTGCAGTAGTGTGGCACATGCAGGGGGTAGGAGGGCCTGCATGCTTTAACTGCTGTGCAGAGAGAGAAGCCTGGAGATGGATAGAGAGAACGAAGAGGAGGTATGTTCCTTTAGCATGTCATCACTAAGATTCCCTGCACCTTTCGAAGATGAGGCACATTACCAGTTATATTAGTCAACTATTGTTAAGAAAAATAATATCAACATTTATTTATATTGGGTCTGAGATCAGTATACAGGATTATTCTTTTTTTTTTTTTTTTTAAAAAGGGAAAGAAACCAAAATGATATGCTCAAGCAGCATAAAGCAAATACTTCATGTGTCTTGAGCAGAGAAAAAACTACAATCCCTCACTGCAACTCATCACTCACTCCATGACATATTTTTTTTTTTGTTTTGTTTTTCTCTGGTACCGGGAACCGAACTCACGACCTTGCACTTGCAGGCAGGCACTTTGCCGCTGAGCTAAATCCCCAGCCCCACTTCATGACATATTAAAAGGGAAGGTTAAGAGCATGCCATAAAAAATCTCGAGATAGAAATTAAATTTCAAAAAGAATATTAAGTATCATGGCCACTTAAGCATTATTCAGTACCTTATTATAGTTAGAATTTATGGAAGAAAAAATAAATAATCAGATTATCTTAAGGAAAAAACATACATCTAATGACACTAAGCTCACACTGACTGACACAGATGGTTTTGAAGTTTGCTTTGAATAATAATTTCAGAAGAAACAGATAAAGAAGGTTCTTCTGCCCATATAAAACTTTAATGGCAAAGAGACAATTATCCAATTAGCTTAATCTAAACCTTCATTCCCCTAGGAAAATTTCCAGAAAGAGAAAATGTTAAAGAATAGGCTATGTCTAGAGAGATAACAGAATAAAGTTTTGCTTTTTTAAAAAATCTGTTTAATGATTTGAAGTAGTCTGTCTAGAAATTCTTTACACTGTACTGAAAACTGAAATTTTTTAATTAAAAATGAGGAAAAGGATATATATATATGTGTATGTATATGTATATATATAAAACCAAAGCTATAAGAGCTTTCATACACTCCTAATGAGAGTACTTATCAGCACAAGTCCTCATGGAAAACAATTTAGCAATTTAACAATATCAACCAAAAACACAAAGTTATGCACCTTCTGGCCCAAAAATTCTATTTCTGAAAATTCATTTTATAAATAGATTTGTATACATAAAGGGTTTTTGCAGCAATATTTATTAGCTGAAAACTAGAAATGGCACAAATGCTCATTAATAGGACACTGGTTAAATAAATCATGATACAGCTGTATAATGGAATATGTATCTGTAGAATAAGTGCTCTATGTATTGTATGGAAGGGTCTCCAAGATGTTAAATGTAAATTTCAAAAAACAGAAGGGTGTGCACTATATGCCACCTTTTGAATTAGAAAGGAGGCAGAAGAAAACTAAGAATCCTTATTTGTATTTGTTTCTAATGAACTTCTGGAGATAAGAGATTAAAAAATAAAGAGATTTCAGAGAGATGTTTTAAAAATGGGAAGCAGGGAATGAGAGAGTAGGTATTTTACTATGCATCCTTTTATTCTCTTTATTTCTAGGACTGTGTGACTATACTACCTACCCAGAAAATGAAATAATTTTTAAATAACAAAAGCCATCTACTTTAGGCTCAAAACATCTCAATAAGATGCCTCCTTGTTTTTATTTTTTGTTGAGGCACTAAAGATTGAACCCAGGGCTTTCACACTGAAGTATATTCCCAAGTACTTTTAATTTTGTTGTTGTTGTTGTTTTGTTTTGGTTTGATTGGGGTTTTTTTTGTTTTTGTTTTTGTTTTCTGAGACAGGGTCTCATTAAATTGTTAAATTGCCCTAGGTGGGCTGGAATATGGAATCCTCCTGCCAAGGCCTTTCAAAGTGCTGGAATTATAGGCTTTCACCACCATGCTGCTTCCTCACAAAGCAAACAATCCAAAAAGAAAAGACATTTTAGCATCTGCTTAGGGGAATTTGACCTTTGAACTTTTAAGCAAAATACAAAATTAAATGAGTCATCCTTATTCCTTTAAAAATATTTTTTGATGCCTTGAATAAATGTAACACATTACTAGTTTGGTCTAAAACTAATCCCATTTCAACATTTTCAAGTAAAATATTGCTTGCTTACAGATATAAAAACCAGCTAAATTCCAGAAAGCAGTTACTTTTCAGAGCTCTCCTATATCACTACAGAAAACATCCAAACCTTTGTCAGAACGGTGCTTCCTCCCACGAGGAATTCGGTGAAGGCACAGAATATAACCATCTTGTGTTTCCACCATGTACTCCTCAGCCTGGAAACCCCAGTGTTGGATAATTTCGGTCTGCAGAGAGAAAGGACAATCGGCACTCTATGGATAAAACCTGATGCCATCTTCCACATTAACAGGCAAAGGAGAAAGCAAAAGGTCAAACATCTTTTCTAGGGTTTATTTAAGAAATCAGGGCTGGGGATTTAGCTCAGCGGCACAGCGCCTGCCTGGCAAGTGCAAGGTCATGAGTTCGATTCCCGGTACCGGAAAAAAAAAAAGAAAGAAATCGATTGTCATTGTCATTTCAGTCTGTCCAATCTAGTAGCCAATATTCTATCACAAGAATAAATCTTCCATACCAACAGGTATTTGGCTAAACCTTGATGTCATAATTCTAGCACATTCTATACCAGAATACCTTTCCAATTTTACTGTTGAGAGGATCTTGTTTCCACCCTGCCTACCAGGCACAAACAAATACCTACTTCCTTCTTTTCTCTTTAGACAGAGTGTTATGCCAGCTAGCACTTTCCTTGTTTTAAGAGGTCCCATTCTAAGAAAGTATAAAAATACAATCTATTTTTTATCAATGAAATAAAAAAGTTACACTAGAATATTAAGATGCACTTGAAGAAAAGCTAAAAAACATGGAGTTATGATCATATTTCCTTCTGAAGAAATCTATGGGATAATTGTTAGTTGGCAATTTTGTGGGATATAGATGAGTCAATTACCTGGAAGATTTAATGTATATAAGTGTTTATTATCATCTCTACCATAAATACTTGAAAAAATTTAATTTTATTTTTCTTACAGCAAAGAATTGGTTAGAAGAGGGAAAAATAAAAGATTTGAGATAATTAAAACTTAACCCAAGGATCATGCTGATGGCCGTTCTCTTGACTCACTATGACTCACTATGAATTTTTCTCGGAGTCTTTAGTTAACTGATTCATCAATTAGATCAGTGCAGCTTCTATTTTAAAGTTGTTATTGCCTGAAATAATCTGTATTTTTTCAGTATTTCATACCTAAGGGAAGTATTTCCAGGTAAGATAAATAACTTTGATATGTTTTAATTAATCAAGGAGATATTTTTGCTTATTTTTTTAACAATTTTTCAGATACTTTGGCTTTTGCGTCCATGTATGTTCTCTAGATATTCTAAATTAAATCTTTGTTCAGTGTATTCTAAAACCATCACATGGGTGAAATCTACCAAACAGAATCTAAGATGTGGAGAAAAAAAGAAAAGCATAATAAGCTATAATGCGTATGAGAACAGAGTCATGGCTTCACAGAGCCCATGTAACTATATTTAAGGAAATAATTTGTCATAGCCACATTATAAATGTACATGACTTTGAGGAACTTACCACATTCATGTTTGTTTCAGGATCCACAGCTCTCACATCTCCTCTGGACCCCACAGAATACAGGATCCCAAGGACCAAAACAGCTACCAACCTCCAGGGCTGCATTTTCATTCTATAGAAAATAGTTTGTTATTATATCACTATACAAAGATGCACTGGCAGATTAAAATTCTCACAAAAATTTCTGGACCAGATTTAGGGCAGGTCTGTGTCAGATGAAAGACAAGTACAAATGACCCTAGCCATCTGTGGAAGGAGAAAATGACTAACTCATTTTGCTGAGAAATCTCCCTTCCCTCCACCCCAGTAAACACGGGACCTTTGGAGCCCACAGCACATCCACTAGCCTCCTGACCATGAGGTAAAAGAAATTAGTTTTAGAGAAATAACAGGAGACAGAACTTAGAAAACAACCTGACAATGAAAAAAGAAAGGTAGAGGCATAAAATTCCAGAGCCTGTTAATTTCCCACCTTTTCCTTCTACTTGCAATTTAAACATTTCTAAGTTCAGACAATATTAGTTCTTAGCTCCCACTACCTATTTATGTCTGTTCTTGCCCTAAATTATGTCAGGTTTCAAATGGTCACTCAAGGGAGAAAAAAGTGAAATGAAAGACAGCCTCCAAGAGAAACAGAAGAAGAAGCCAACACTTCTCACCTGAAACTCTAGTCAGGAGCAAAAATCATCCTAGTCTCTGGCACAGCAGAAAAATCACAGCAAAGATCAGGGAAATGTTAAAGGTGAAGTGATGGGAATCTCCCAAAGACATCCAGAGAGAGGAACTGGGATAGAGGCCAGTTCTCCTACATTAAAAACTATATGTATAAATAAATATATATGGACATATAGCTATGCCCACACAATGACTTGTACACAAATGTTAACAAGAGCTTGTGTGTAGAGCCAAAAACTGGACAAACTGGAATAGTCCAAATGAGTGAAAAGATAACTAAATTACACATGTGTGTTATTCAGCAATAACATGGAATAAATAGAGTAACTTTGATGAATCTCAAAATAATCATGTAGTATTAAAAAATCCAGACCCAAGAAAGAGAAAGGAGAGGAAATAGTATTTGATCCACTCACATAAAACTTTTGGAAATGCAGTCTAATCTGTATTGACAGAAAGTTTATCAGTGCCTGAGAGGAGAGGGCAAGGGAGGGAAGGATTACTAGGGGATATATAAGGAGTCTTTTGAAGATAATGTATGGGTTCATAATTAAATTGGTTTCACAGGTATATATATATATCAAAAGGTGGAAAATTCTACAATTTAAATATGCCCTGCTATTATGTGCCAATCATACCTCAATACTGTATCGTTGTCTTAAAAAATGTATTTACACTATGTATTACACAAATTTTCAAGAAATTATCAAGATGAATTGACTCCCTTCTGTTAAAAAATTCCTCCTGGAAGTATTTTTCCAAGAAATAGCGAATCCCGAAATTCCAGATAGGAACCAAGGTCCTCCTGAGTCTGCACTGGCAAAGCAAGCCCACTGCTTTTAATTACAAGTGTGCCCTTCCGTAGCCGGGAATGGCTGTACAGCCCTTGGCTACCTTTTATCATAACTACCTCCCCACAGTCTATTAGGATAGAGGGGGAATGGACTGAAAAGGGAAACATTAAAGTTTAATACCACAGTTGGAAATACACAATTATCTGGCAGCAGCTGATTTCTCCATGGCGCCTATTCTAGAGAACTTGCACCGGCTGACAGAAGATGCTCCCTAAGGATGACCGCTGAAGCTACTCGAGTGGAAATGTCAGGCAGTTGATTTCCCCTTCCAACATAACTCTCACTTTCTCAATATTCTAGACAAGCAATTCTCGTCGAGGAAGATACTGTGAGTTCAAAGGAGAAAAAAAAAATTCTAGACTGGATCCAGTGTGCTAGTCTGGGCTCTTAGCATCTCTGTCTTACTTCTTTTGATTTTGTAACAATCCAATTAACCGCTATCTGCCCTCATTTTGCACAGCCGGGTTCACTCAACTTTGCCACGCACATGTCAGCTGCTCAACGCAGGTTTTGAAAAATGGGATGGGGTGGCCCAACAGTTCAGTGGCCCAAGAAAATGCCCCGACATAGCTTGTCATTCAGTTTTCTAGGAGTATCAACAACAACGAAACAACATAATAACTACTAAGTTCTGCAATGCGCCAGACCGGAGGGCACTTCGGATACGAAGTCAATCGCTCCTCTCACCAACCCCAGGGACCTATTATTGAGCACACTTTTCAGGAAACTAGGGTCACAGAGATTAAGCACAGGAAGCAAAGTGTTAACTGGTTAAACAGCAGCGTCGCTGGCGTTTTAACCAGGACCACTGCCCAGCGCTGCTTCCGTCCACGCCATCGGTGCACGGATGAGGGTAGGGCGGCTGCCCGAGGAGCTAACGGAGGAGAGGAAAGACTGCTGGGAATCGGCGTCCCGGCAGTGCTAGCAGGCCAGCACCTCTGAGCAGCTCAGCAAATCACAGGGTGCCCTGGAAGGGTGGGCCACTTCAGAGTGCTGGGAAGATGCCTCGGCCTCCGACGGCGGGCAGGCACCCGCAGGTACCCAGGCGGGCGCACTGGGGAGCCGGAGCGCGGCACAGCCGCCCTCCAGGGACACGCAGACCGCAGGCGCCGCCCTCACCCGACCCGCACCCGCACCCGCACCCGTGCCCGGCTTTACATTCACCCTGAGCCGCCTCCGAAGCCACGGTCCGGTGCGTAAGGCCTGATCGCGGGCTCCGGCTGGCTGCAGCTGGAGGGCACCTGCAGGGGAGTAGACCCCCGCGCTGGAGGCCGGCTCGGGCTACTCGCGCAGCCAACCCGAGAGGCCCGCCACCGGGAAGTGCCCCGAAGGCCCCGCCCCCGCGCAGCCCCGCCCCGCCCCGCGCAGCCTCGCCGCTTCGGAGCCTGCTGGGGAGCGCCGCCCCGGCCTAGCACAGCTGAGCTCTGACCCAGATCAGAAGCCAGCGAGAGATTTTGAATAGAATGCTCCATAATCTGGTTTGCAGATCGTGCAACCTCTGGTTGCTGAGGTCACCTATGTAAACCGGGAGACTAGAAGCTCTCTGCAGTACTCCTCACAAGAATCAATGAGGGCTCCCTCGAAGGCAGTGACAGCAGTGGAGGTGGAGATTAGTCAGCTGTAGGTGTGTTCATAAAGTGGAGCCTACAGGATTTGCTAATGGGTTGGATAGAGGTGTGAGAGGGAAAGCAGTATGGGATGGCACTGGAGTGCTTAGTAAAGTGGATTTGAGGATTGCTCTAGATGTGTCGCTTTTAAGATACCAATTAGAGAACTCTACCAGTTAAGGCTGCAACAGGGAAAGTAACCACTGGAAGTATGCCAGGCAGAGAAAATGGTTGCACAGGCAACGGAGTAGCCCAGAAGCCGAACAGGATTTGGCCGGGCATCCCAGAGGTTGTCAGCAACGGTGGAAAACCTGGGCGTTTATAGGAAAAGATACTGTTGTCGGAGACCAGCAGTCGAGTTGCAGCCTCCGCCTGAGACACCCAAGGGCAGAAAGAGGGAGTTACAGATACCCTCACTCTCCCCTGCCTTCCAGTTGCTAACCTGCAGCCTACAAGGGTTGGACCCCACCCACCCTGTGAGGTAGAGTGGAACCGCGGAAGGACCCTGTATGGACCTGAGACCATAGCGTCCACATGGAGGTGGAAGTAGGCGCCGGAATATTTGGGTCTGGAATCCAGGTCTAGTTCCAGGCTAGATATACAGTTTGGAAGTAATCAGTTTAGAGGCAGAATTAAGGCCTTGATAAGATCTGTAAAGTCAATACAAATAGTGAAGAATGTACTTAGATATTTAGCAGATAAGAAAGCTGAGATGGGGCCGGGGATATAGCTCAGTGGCACAGCGCCTGCCTGGCAAGTGCGAGTTCCTGAGTTCAATTTCTGATACAAAAAAAAAAAAAAAAAGGAGAGCTGAGATGCAACTAGGGAACTAAAAGTATTGAACCAGACACAAAGTGAAAAAAATTTCAAGAAAGGCAATGATTAGCCCAGATAAGTGCTGGTGGTAACTTGAGTGAAGTGACCAATGAGAAATAAACATCAAATTTAGCAATATTTAAACATGTCAGACATTGTGCTAAGACCATATGCAGTGCTTCATTCAGTCTTCAGAATGTGACCTCCACATCTCCATTTTACAGATGAGGACACTGAAGCTTAGAAAGGTTAAATATATTTCCCATAGTCACAGAAGTAGAAATTGATGTAGCCTAAAATTTAGCCCAGGCAAACTAAATCTAGGTTATTTTTTAATGCATGAACAAATGAAAATACAACCAAAAATTTCTTTATCCATGTAAGGGAGAATCCCCCCTCCCAGTCTTCCTGCTTTGGGCTGTTGTAACCCATACTTTCATTATAAGAGAAGATTTGCAGAATACAAGCTGAATGGTGATATGCGGTGGGCAGGTGGGATATTTGTGGTGCTGAGGCTTGAACTCACTGAGAAGTGAGTTTCTTTTTCTAGGTTGATGGAAGTCTTTTTCTAGGCTGATGAAGTGGAAGGTTTCTTTTTCTAGGCTGATGAAAACATTTAAACATGTTATGCCAATAGTTGCACAACTACAAAAATACTGAATGCCACTTAATTGTTCACTTTACATAGGTGCATTTTATGGTAGATGAATTATATTCCAATACACAATTTTTAAAAACTTTAGCAAGATACAGAATAAACATACAAAACTCACGAGCTTTTCGGCACACGAAAGTGAACTCTCTGAGAAAGAAAACAAGAAAATTCACATTCACACTAACCATGCACACATACCCCTAGGAATAATAGGAATAAATCTAGCTAAGCGTATGAAAAACTCTGCAGTGAAAATTACCAACAGTGCAGAAAGATGAGGGAAAAAGATCATATTGGAAGGCAAAAGAGTTGAGCATTTTTTATTATTAGGAGCTGAGTTGTGACTGTCACCCCTCCCTTCATCTGCACATAGTAAAGCCTCAATCTCCAGTACCTTGGAAGGTAACTGCATTTGGAAGTAAGGTCTTTTAAAAGGTGACTGGGTGAAAATAAGGTGCTTAGGGTAGGCTTCTAATGCAGTGTGGTTGATGACTTTATAATGTGGGAGTGACACTAGGGAGATGTATGCAGAGAGCTGACCATGTTAAAAGGAGGCCAAAGGGCAGCGTCTGTAAGACAAGGATCCTTAGGGGTATAGCTCAATGGTAGACCATTTGACTCTAAGACAAGTGTCCTATCTGTATTGTGATCTTGAACTTCAAATTTCCAGGACTGCAGAAAATAAATTTCTTTTTGAGAAAACCAAATGAAACGAAACAATATTGTTTAACCCCTCCACCACACACACACACACACACACACACACACACACACACACGAGTTCAAGGCACTCATCTCTGTGCACTCATTAAATTCTAACGACTGCCCTGCCTCCCAAGGGAAGGCAATGACAATTTAAATGTCTGGATTTCTTTTGTTTCCATTGTAAACTCTGATTAAAAGTTTTTTGACACACGGTTTAAATTTCCAAATAAAACGAGAGGGAGGGAGGGAGGGAGAGAGAGAGGCAGAGGGAGAGGGAGAGAGGGAGAGAAGGCGAGGGAGAGGACAGAGAGAGAGAGGGGGAAGACCCATCGGAAGGTGAACGGATGGAGTTCAGAAAGCCAGAACACTCCAGATTTTGACATGTGAACATTGTTTTTTCCTTGTCCTATGCTGAGCTTCCCAGTTAGTTCCCTCACAAAACGGGAATGCTGTCTGGCACTTGCACATCTCAGCATCAGAAGGATTTCTAGAAAGCATTAGTTCCGGCATGTGTTTACCTTTGATCCCCTCAGCAGCATGTACTGTCACCTGCTAAAAACCTAGCCCTGAGCTGATGAGTAAGTTCAACTCTGCAAGGCCTTCCCACATAGATGTGAGTACTTGGCCATGGTATCTAATTTGCAAGTCATGCCCAGAGGGCCCTGAAGTGCTTCATCCGGCAACACAGCCAGGCTATCAGAGTGTTACAGCATTATTCCTTAATTCCCCCATTGGTAAATTGAGCTATTACTAGTATAGTTGTCCCTCAGATTTTTCAGGAGACTTGTTCCTGAAGCCCCCATGGATATCAAAATCTGTAGATGCTCAAGTCTTTCACATACACTGACAAGGTGGTTCCATAACCTATACACATCATCTCTAAATTACTTAAAATACCTAACACAATGTGAATGCTCTTGTAAAATAATTGTTAGAACATATTGTTTAAGACATAACGACAAGGAAAAACATTTGTACATGTTTAGTATTGATGTCATTTTTTTCAAAAGTTTTCCATCCTCAATTGGTTGAAACTGTGGCATGGAATCCATGGATAGGGAAGGCCGGTGTACCTCACTGGATTATTGAGGAGATTACACAAATCCTCACATAAAGAGTTAGTATGATGCCTCACTCATAGCAATCACTCAGTAAATGTTAATGTTTGGTTCATATTATAATGCAATAACCTCACTTTAGGAAATGCTCCATTATTTTCAGTAAAGGCCGTTTCTTAAGAAGCTAAACACAGGGTCACCATATCACCCAGCAGTTCCACTTCTAGATGTACATCTAAAAGAAATGGAAACATGAGTGGACAAAAACTTGTTCATGAACACTCATAGTGGCATTATTTATTGTGGTCAAAAGATGTAAATGTCTAACAACTAATGAATGAATAAATAAAATATGATTTATTAACATAGTAGTTACTTGGCAATAAAAACAAATGAAGTGCCAATATATGCTTCAACATGGATTAACCTTGAAAATATACTAAATGTAAGAAACCACTCATAAAAGACCACAAATTGTATGATTCTTTTATTTCCGTTCTGGGATCAAATCCACTGCATTCCCAACTCGGTATTCTTCTTTAGAAAAAACTCAAAACCAATAGAAGGCTGTGTTATTGATTTGAGCTGAGCCTACTAAATAGTCCATTTTATGGGACGCCATGAAAGATCTTTTAGTAGATTGCTACTGAAGATATTAATTTCAATATACTAAGTACTTTTGTTGGTTCAAGGAAAACAACTTGATCTCTATGGTTCTTTCTATTTATCATAGTAGAAAACAATCTTGTCGCCTTTCTTAGCTCAATATCATGCAAAGGCAATTAAAAACATACACAAAAGTTATTGTTAGCTGAAAGTTGCTTAAGAAGCATATATTTAGTTCAAAGAAGTACTAACAATATGTGGAATCAGTAAACATATGTTTTGGGGCAAAAATACTCTGAACAAGATTTAAGTAGTTATCGATACATAACTCATATGCTATAGAGAGGACACTTTTCTTTTAGACAACTTCAAATTTGAACTACTTTTATATTTTTCAAAAATCTGTTTATTGAGTCACTATCTGTTGAGCATTTATTTTATGCAAGGGCCTTGTTAAACATTGTGAAAGAATGAATAATGCATTCATCAGTTTTCCTACCACTGAGACACAAGACTGAAAATCCACAACTTACAGGCCAGGTTTACTTTGGCTAATGGTTTCAGAAGATTCAGTTCATGGTCAGCTGGCTCCAATAAAGAATCACCATGGCAGAAGAATGGGGCAGAACAAAGATGTTTTGTTCATGATGGTCAGCAAACAGAGCAGGGGAATGAAAGGAGTGAGGCACCAGGTATAGACCCCAAGGTCATACCTTCATGATTCATGCAGACATACCCAGAAATGTGCCTTGCTAATTCCCCGAGTGACTCCAAGCTAATCAAGTTCACATAATTAAGGTCAACCTTCATATCTCACCCATTATCAACTTGACATCCAAACACATCTCTTTCAACCAACACCTAATCTTCAAATAAACACAATGAA